GGATCTGAGAAGCAGGTTGCTCTTGGAGAGCAAGAGCAGCCAAGCATGCCGAGTCCACGGCAGCCTCCCCAGGTGGAGCATCCTCATCCTTCATCTGAAAACCTGAGATGCAAATGCTCCAAACCCTGAAACTTTCTGAGCACCAACCTGAAGCCACAAGTGGAAAATTCTATGCCTCACCTTACAAGATGGGTCAGTACTGGAGTACTGGAGCTTGTGAGATTACTTTAGGTGATGTGTACATAAAACATCAATGAATACAATTAAAACACATATATATATATATAAGACATAGATGGATTTTGTGTTTATTTATTTTTTTTTGTTTTTTTTTGTTTTCCATTTTATTTATTTATTTTTTTTTAAGGGTCTAGCTTCACTTTTTTTTTTTTTTTTTTTTTTTTTTTTTTTTTTTTTTTTTTTTTTTTTTATCTTTTTTTTTTTTATTGGTTGTTCACAACATTACAAAGCTCTTGACATATCATACTTCGAACAATAGTTTCAAGTGAGTTATGAACTCCCATTTTTACCCCAAATACAGATTGCAGAATCACATAGGTTACACATTCACATTTTTACATAATGCCATACTAGTGACTGATGTATTCTGCTACCTTTCCTATCCTCTACTATGGAAAGAGACCCTCATTGTTATAAAAAACTACATAAAAGAGGTTGTGAGGGGAATTGGAAGAAAAATAAGGAGAGAAATGAATTACAGTAGATGGGATAGAAAGAAAAGATGGGGGGGAGGGGGATAGTAGAGGATTTTGTGTTTAGATCTAGGTCTCGCCCTATGATATTTCATTATGGATATGCAAATATTCCAAAATTTGACTCCCTGCTCCAAAATCATCTGAATCCCAAATGCTTCTGGTCCCAAGCATTTTGGAAAAGGGCACAGCCTGTTTTTACAGGATGAATTAGGCCCAAGGCTGGGCTTCTGCCTTCTGACACTCCATCAAGTCATGAAAGACTCATGTGGTATCTGAAATTGAAGAGAGCTTAGAGGAGCACTGAAAACTCTCCTCCCAATTGCCTCCGCTCCTCTTCCAAACTAATTTACTGCTATACCCCTCTCACCTGGATCTTGATGCCCTTCCCACTTGTTCTTGATTTGACTCTGAAGTACCACTGCCTTCCCTTTTCCTCAGGTAAGGAGGAAAAATGAGTGCGCCTAACAGCTAAATAAACAGAAAACCAACCTCATCAGGAATCCAGGCAGAAGTTCTACACAAAAGCAGGAAGGATGTTTAAAAACAATCATTGCACAGGAAGTGGGGAGACCAAAATGAAAATGTAAAAGAGAAAATAAGCAACTGAGGTCACCTGGGGAAGATACTAGGCCATCTAATGAAATACAGGAAATGAGAATGATTAGAAACTGCCAGGAAAAAATTAGTAGTAGCTAAAACTTAAATAGCAGTCACTACACATAGCATTTTTCTAAGCATGAAACATATATTAACTTCTTATAGCCTCTGAGAAGCCCTGTGAGTTGAATTCTACTATTATTCTCACTTTACAGATGTGGAGACTAAGGCACAGAGAAGGCGAAAACCTATGACTATATGCAACAGGTGAGAATTGGCCATCTGCATCGATTATTATTGTGATGATGATGATGATGATGATGATGATGATGATGATGATGCTGCTGCCAGGGATTGAACTCAGGGGCACTCGACCACTGAGCCACACCCCCTATTTTGTATTTTATTTAGACACAGGGTCTCACTGAGTTGCTTACACCTTGCCTTTGCTGAGGCTGGCTTTGAACTCCAGATACTCCTGTCTCAGCCTCCTGAGCCACTGGGATTATGAGTGTGTGCCACCATGCCCAGCTAGCCATCTGCATATATTATTACACAAGTTTACAAGGAGTAAGATTAGGTAAGGGGCTTGGAAGTATTCTCTTCTCCTCTTTTCAGAGCATTTACCTGCTGTTCTCAGGGGAGAGTTTACAATTGGATTTTTTGGAGTGTCCTGCCACCTTAAAACTCTAATCTAAAGTCCTACTCCGGGACACAAACATGGCCAGGCAACTAGCAGACTATTTCTATGAACACAGAAGTATCTCCTAGAGAGGAAAACCACACGCATGCTTCAAACTGGTATTAAGAGAAAGAGGACAGGCAGGCTGACTCGCCTCTTTCTAGATGGAAGGTGTAGTGACCCAGGAAAAAGATGGATGTGTCTGCCTCTCAGATCAGTCCTCTAGTCCAGCCACATGGATTCAGCCTTGAATCTTATTCTGAATGGAGTCTACATAGAATAACAAATAAGTAACAGTAAATATAGCTGATTTTCAAAACACGTAGTTTCTGAGCCAGTTTTCATGAAGCCTGGCACTAACAGCAGCCAAGAATTTTCTACTTCGACAAGGAATGTTGTACAGCCCATCACCCAGGTCTCCCACCCCTAAGATACTGTATCTCAGTATCTACTGTATAGGCTCCAGGTATCTGGGATGAAGACAGGCAATGGGAGGCGGTTGTGGTTGGCAGAGTGGAGAGGGTAGCAGAGGCACACGGAGAGTCAGCTCCAAGTATGGAGGAGCAGCACATCATAGCCAGTCATGGGAGCCACGGAACCAAATAGAAGCTTCCACACTACCTGGAAGTGAAGGTGAGGCCTGATTATTACTGAAGCATCTAGCAATGTGACACCTAAATCAGGGGGAAAAAAAAGGAAAATAATGTTATTCCCAAATAAGAGCAAACTTTGAATATGTGGCAAGAGCAAGAAATACTATAAATGTAACCTTCAATTTTAAATAGCTTAAGTACCCTTAAAGAACAATATTGGAGTTGCTTTAATTTTGACTTAGATTTTAGGTAAAAATCTGTTTTAGCAGAAAAATATGTTCATATATAATTATTTTCCCAAGAAGAAAAAACATATTTTAGGTTATCACAGTATCAGGCCTAAAGTTAGTGGTTAAAAATCATAGTGTTTCATAGTGTTTAAACATAAGAGTTTATGTTTATTTGAATTTTCCTCAAGTTTTGTTAATTATTAATGAACCTTTTCTACATCCTGTTCTTTGGACAATAATCTTGTTTCTATGAACAAAAATCTAACATTCAAGAATACAAAAGAAGTTTCATGGCATTTAGGTCAATGTGTGTTATTCAACTCATTTTTTTGAGGCATGGCCTTATCTATTCATCGGAATGACATTTTGGCATACTGAAAGGGCAATACTCTGACAAATAATAAGGCAAAAATATTTAATCTCTTTAGTCTTTCTGTATCCCCTTCATTTTACTTTAAAGGGCTTGTGTGTAGACAGTGTACTCAACTAGCCCTTATAGTAATTACCCTGGTTATACCCAATGTGACGAATACTATTCAACTTTAACAAATAAGAATTTTATACTGTCTGGTTTGTTCTTAATTCTTCCCTAAGGGCCTATTTGGTTTAGCATCAAATACAAGATTAAGAGACTCTAAACTTTAGCTGAACAGCCACTCAAGGGATTTAGACTTGATCTCTTTACACATAAAGAAAGAGTTAGCATACATCTGACATCCCTGCACAAGGAGCACATATTTATCCATATAATGGATCTCTGTTTCCTAATGTTCATTGTTTATTTGAAAGCCAAATGAAAAAAAAATTATCATATCCTCAAAAAAATCTCAGTTGTGTAAAACTTTGAGCAAGCTAAGTCTCTATCAATTTACGCTGAATAAAGCAAAAGAAGCAAATGAAGACTATAGCAACTGTATAATCACATAAAATATATGTGCATAGTTACATAGGTGTTATATGTGTATATATTTGCATATATCTTATATTTGCATAACAAAATTGAAATGGGTAAACATGAAAGGAATTCTTAGCAGGCTAAATGACTTGTCAAACCTAGTTACAGGCTTAAAAGGAATTCAAACTTTGGTCTCCAAACACCAATTTTAATGCCCCTTGCATCACCTTGTGCTGTAACCCAAATTGCAATGGAAACTTACAGCGCAGAGGAGAAAAATTTAAAAAATGAAAAAAAAGGGGTAATATTTTTCAGTCCCACCAGTTGACTAATGATTAGATATTTTTGCAGAAGTAGTGAACCCGAGGTATGCAATTTCTCAAGTATTTAGACTTCATAAAATAATTTTAACAGTTTTAAAGTGACAAGGATAGAAAAATAGGAGAGATAGATGACCCAAAAGGTAAAGGGAACCCCCTCTTTTTCTTTCAGCTTTTTTCAAAGAACTCCATAATTCCCAAATGTAACACTATGAAGTTAAAAACTGGAGGAGGAGACTCCAAGGAATGGAAAAATGTACCAGGGCAAGTTCAGGAAGACAGAGAAAGGTCAAACTACAGCATGCAGCTTGGTCAGACCTGGCTCAGCTGGACATGTTTCGTGTCACTGGGCAGGAGTACAGCAAAGTCTCTTCTATCAATTAGTCTCCAAATTTATTTGCATATAAGGGAAATGTAATTTTTAATACTGGACTACTGTTTTTGAAGAGTAAATGCAAAATCTGAATAGATTTAAATGACTTAAATGACACATTTAATGATGATATGATAGTTAAATTTTCTACAATTAATTATTTCCATTTCCACAATGCTTGTGTGCACATGGAATCATTGGATGGAGAAGAGTACAGGGGTTATATGCCACCCCTTCTATTTACTGAGGAGAGATGGATATGCATATCACATATGGTGTGCAAATACATAGCTTATGCAAAGTTATATTTTTAAATGTGAGAGTGTAACTAAATATTCAGAAACTATTTAGACTTTGATTTTTCTGAAGTCCTAAGTTTCCTACTAAATGGAATTAAAGTATCGCCCTGGAATTAAAGTATTGCAACTTCATTTCCTTCCAAATTTGTCACCTTTTGCCCTAGTAAGAAATGCTGGTGATATGGCAACGGCAACCAAATAAAAAAATCACATGCTCTTGGAGAAAAAGTATTACTCATAAATCTGTATAATCCTGTCAATTATCCCTTCCTGATGAATAGTATGTGACCGGAAACAAGGAAGTGATAAAGCATCTTAATAACCCCATCTCCTTGGAGAAGAAGGTGGAGCAGGTGAGTGATTGCATACCAGGCCCTGTGCCACATACATACCAAGGCGGGCTGCAGGGGTTGGGTCCATTCATCCTGCAGTCTGCTGTAGATAGCTTCTGCTCTGTTCAAGGTGTGTGTCCAACAGGGCTCAACATTCAAGTCTAAGAAGTAAAACGATAAAGGATTCCAAATGAAAGTCTCATCCCAAACTAAACTATCAGTTAAGAGTGTAGAGAGGAGGATAATTGTGCAAGCAGAGAGTATATGAAAATATAGCTTTTGTACATTTTTTGTAAATGACATGATCTAATCAATACACCATGAGTCCTTTTTTAACTCTTTTACTTTTATTTTTGTGCTTCAGATTGAATCCAAGGCCTGGGTTCAGGATAAGCACTCATCCTACTACTGAGCTTGCTTTGGTTTGGATCCAAGGTGTCCCTGTATGAATTCTGGGATGTTCAGAGATAGAACAATTAAATGGTGAGTGCTGAACCTAATCAGTTCATCCTAGTTTGAATGTTGGGGTGGTAACTGTAGGCAGGTAAGGCATGGCTGGGGGAGGTGGGTCACTGGGGGTGTGCTCTGGCAGGATGCATCTCCCCCCGGCCCCTCTGCCTCTCTCTCTGCTTTCCTGCCGCTGTGAGGGAAACATTTTCTCTCCACTGGATCCTTCCCCCATGATGTGCTGCCTCACATTGGGCCCACAGCAATGGAGTTGGCTGTCTGTGAACTGAGACTTCTGAAACCGAGCCAAACGAAACTTTTCCTCCTCTCAGTTTTTATTATTGGGTGTTTTGGTCACAATAGCACAAAAGCTACACCCTCAGCCCACCATGAATCTGGTTTTCATATTTCTAAGTATGTCAATAGGCAGCAATAGTTTAGTTTTAGCATAAAGACTCTGAATTGCAGGTGTCCTAATGGTCTTCCCATCTAATTTCTCATTCTATAAAGGGACTCTCTCTACAATACCCTTGAGAGTGGTCTAGATCCAGTTATTCCCGAGATGTCACCAGTACTGTGAGCAAATCGTGAGCTAACCAGGCTTGACATTCTACTTTCAAATACTCTTAATAAAGTTATTATGTGCTAGAAAGGAGCTGGATATTGGATACTTCAAGAAGTTTGCATCTCCTTCAGCTGTTAGCTACATGCCTAAAGTGATATGATTGGGAGCTTTCCTTGACCAAAAGGAGGAAGTCAAAGGGGAGACAAATAGAACAAACACTACACGGAATTTCCTATCTAGCCCTTTGGCCTGGTTGGAACTCCCATGGAAATACAGATTAAAGGCCAGAAAAAAAGAAAGACTCTGAGCACAAGCCAGCTTCCAGGGAACCCAGTGACCAACTGTGGCCAGCAGAGAGACTGTTCTGTAGTCCTCCATAGAGCTCAACTCTTTGGTAACCTTACCGAGGATGGGAAGATTTGGGAGCACGAGCAAGGACACCTTTGTACAGACATTGGGCCTTATTTAGAACCCGATCAGCTATAGCAAGATAGTGGTTGGCTCAAGTGCCCTTGTAGGCAGCAGACATGGAAAAGGGAGAAACAGAGTAGGAAATGAGGAATGTAGCAGATGTCTTGGGGGTACTGATGTGGCCAGGCTGGTTTGGCAACACATGTGAATATTTAGAAATTCTCAAAAATATTTTGGTCAGGAAGAAGCGGGAACAGGAGGACTTTTGCAAGGAAATGCCTGTGTGTAGCAGTGTGGGCAGAACAGGCTCCCTGGGTTGCTGGTGTTAAAGGATACCCAGGCTGGCGAGCCAGAGCAACATTTGGGCTACATTTATGTGGAACCGCAGTTGCTGTCTTTGCAACAGAGGCTAATTCAATTACTTCCCAGTTTCAAGATTATAAGGATCAAATGTGTAACCAACTCTCTGAGCAGTATTTTCCCCCCCCCCTCAAGTCACAAATTGATTTTGTCAATAGAAATAATTTATGACTTCTATTTTTTTCCTAGAATAAGATATGCTACAATCTAAAGTCATATTGCAGTAAGAAGTGCTGCAATAAAGTTAAAAGCTGTCACTTAAAGAAGGGTGACCATATAATCTATCATCCAAACCTGGACACTTTTGAGTGAAAAGGGGTATTATTACTTATTATGCTAGATGCTAGAACAAGAGATAATAACAGGGTCTGCTCAAGTAAAGTGGGAAGTACAGTTACCCCACCAAAAGGTGATTTGTGATTGGTAAGATGTGAGCCCTGAAATCAAGTGATGTCACTTGTATTTATCCAGCAGTGTGGAATGCAGCTTGAATCCAGCTGGACCATCTTGAAGCCACCCTCTGCCTGCTGATGCTAACCCTCCCCACCAAGAGTAACAAAGAAAGAAAAAAAGTGCAGACAGTTCCAGAAACCTGGAAGACAGGGATGTAGACATTTTTTTTTAAAACAGGGTTTCTTGAAACGAGTGGTTTTAATGACTGCATCACGAATGTAACCAAACATCCCCCAATTCTTCTTGCCTCCTCTCTTTCCCCAAAGTCTCCACTGCAGAGGTCCCTATACTCTCCCTCCCTCTTCTTAGCCCCCCCCACAGCTATTCTTCACTTTGTCTCTCTCTTCATTCTCCCCTCAAATCGCTCTTCTTCCCATCTGCCGGCCCCTCCCTGCCATTTCAAAAATATCAAGGGGAAAGAAGGACATCGTGAATATGCATGCATTAATTTCTTGTGTGTGTTTGTCACACCTTTTAGAATCTCATACAATAAAATTTAAAAGCTAAATTGGAGCATTTCATGACCCCAGTGTGAGACACATGTTGGAGACTGCAATTCAGATGCAGGCTGGAGAAGTAAGGGAACCTCAATTATCAAGCACAGACCTCTAAGCACTGGGTATGAAAATGGAGCCCTCCTGTCTTGGTTTGTCTGAGGCCTGAAGATAATGGATGCTATACTCCTACCCTATGGAAATATTAAAGCACATTAGAAATTTACTATTCCAAGAGTAAAAAAGGTGTAGGAGTTTGAAGGAGATTTGTTGAGGTTATTTGGCTATTGCTGCTCAAGTATTATGAGTTCCACCCATTCCTGCTTCTTACAGCAAGCCGAGAGGGGGGCTTCAGGGGACCATTCAGGAAACTCATGTTCCAGAATCTAGATGGATCCAGCAGACTTGGATTTGACTCAGGCCTGAGTAATCTGAGACCTCTAACTGGCTGACTGGCCTTTTCAATGACAGAGTAAAGTGGATTGTCAGACAAAAAGATCAACTTGAGTGCCTAGAGGTTTTATGAGTGTTCCAGGTGGACCTGAAGAGACGAGCTCATGATGCAGAGAAGGAATGAGCCCACATCTTAGAACTTGTCCCAGTGGACTCTTGGAAAAGAACCAGGCCTAAGCTGCTCTGTTCTTGTCATCAACCATTCTACTAGCCTAAGCCAAGCACTTTGAGCAGGGGCTGCCTGAGATTGGATGGGTCAGGGGCTGGCAAGTGCTAGCCTGTGGGCTGGCTGCCTATTTTCATAAACCCAGGTTACTGGAACAGTCACACCTACTCTCTGACACCATGTTTTTGGTGCTATAAGGCAGAGTCAAGTAACTGCTGTAGATAGAGACTATATGGTCCGCACAGCCTCAAATATTTACTATAGAAAACATCTGCTAACTCCAGGGATAAGTTCTCAGAAAGCCTTCAAAAGTGTCGCTGTAGTAAAGAGTTAGACGTAAACAGGTTTCACATTCAGAGCATGCAACCACTGGAAAATATTACCACGCAAGCAAAGGCTTCTCGCTTTTCTTGCATCAACCTATTAGGGCCAGAAACGGGCAGGAAAAGACAAAGAGGGCAATGACCTGCCCTTCTTTCCCATTTCAAGGGGTCAGCCCTCAGCAGGCCCCCTATGAGTGGAAGGACAATGTGGGACTTTAAGTCAGATTTTAAACTGTGCTTATTCCTTAAGCCTTGACACTATCAAAATTAAAATTTTATGGTTAAAAGGAACTGCACTTTTTTTTCAGAAGTTAGGAAAGAACTTCCACGGCACTGATTAAATATACCCACAGGAATGGTGGGAGATGAAATATAGATTTACCTTTAAGATAATGTCCCAAGAGACCTGCACATTAAACAAATGTGCTGTTTTCACATATATTTCTTCAGTTAGGAAAGCTGGTTTCCAGAGACGACTCTGACATTATTCATAGGATACAGGATAGTGCGTATCCTTTCTGGAACTTGGTTTTCTCTCCGCAAAGTCAGGGTTGGAGGATGATTCCCTTCAGCACCAATATGCTCTCATTCTAGAACTCCAGGTCTGTCTTTCAAGATGGGTTATGCCTCTTATAACTACGGCAGTGTGCAGCAATGTGCACTTGGTGTTAGAGCTTGTGTGCAGTTGCATATAAATATTGGAGAAATGATTCACGGTATATGCATCCGCTCACCCTCACCTCCAAGATAGACGCTGAGAGTTTTCCAACTGGCCAATCTTTTTACACAGGGTAAAAGTGGCTGAGGCAGACAGGATTTTGGTGTAAAGTTTTATGTTTCTGGGTAGGAGTGAAGCTGTGCTTACTGTTTGCTGTAACTGTGGTGTCTCTGTTGTTTCTGAGTTTTCCTAGACACTCCTTAAATGGGGTCTGTGGCTTGCAATTCCTTCTTCTGTATTCTTCTATGATTCAGGAGCTCTATTGGTGTGGTAAGGCCAGCTGACGAAGAAGAGGAATTTATAGTCCAATGGTTAGGTCTAAAGTCTTTTCAGGAATGTCAGTTGGGCATTTCCTTTGCCCCTGTTCTTTAGGCTTTGGTAAAATCCTGGTAGGTTAGACTCCTGTAAAATAGTTTTCCTTCAGAGCAGGCCTTTGTAAAGAGAACAAAATGTTCTGGGAATTTTCAAAATGCTTATTATGCACCCATTTCTATTCTGGAAACTGAGGGAATTTTCTTCTGGTTTTCACAGAATCTGGTAGGTCTCTTGCAGGTAAAACTCATAAGTCGGGGGAGGGGGTCCCCTAAGAAGGAATTTTTCACTCTCAAGCCCATCCTCTGAGCCTCCAGCAATTTCCCAATTACCAGCTAAAGTGTTCTTATTAATTTTGGCTTTAGCCCTGGGTTTCTGCTTCTTGGACTTCTGTTCTCCGTAAATTGTGACTCTTCAAATCTGTCTCTTCTCTCCAGTTGTAGGGGAGGCAGTCAACCT